AATGGAGAGTTTCTGGAGAAATATCTGGCAGCACAAAGTTCCGTCCAAGGTTCGTAATCTAATCTGGAGAGCATCATTGAATTTGCTTCCAACGGTCGATCAATTGAGGGTGAAAAAAGTTGAGATTGATAGCTGCTGCCCGATTTGTCTGCTGCATGAAGAAATTGTTTTACACACCCTCGTTACTTGTGATTTCGCCCAGAAAGTATGGGAGGAGGTGGGTATAATCAGTTCATCCCCCATGGTTGCAAACCTTAAAGAGTGGCTCATAGATAAATTCAAATCTCACCAATAAGAACAAGAGACCATAGCGATGATCTGTTGGGCCATATGGAAGAATCGTAATGAATCAGTTTGGAAGAGCAGGTGCCATACAGTCCTCAAGGTGGTGACTATGGCAAAAAAATTTCTTCAGCAATGGCGGGAAGCTAACTAGTCACAAACATCGTCTGCAACTACCTTAAACAGGCCCGAGAGGGTTAAATGGAAACCGCCTTTAACAGGCTCCTTCAAACTTAATATTGATGCAGCCATTTTCGAAAACCAAAGGAAAGCTGGACTTGGCCTGGTAATTCGAGATGATTTGGGATCTTTCGTTGCCGCCAAAATTATTCCCGTTCAAGGAATTGATGATCCACTCATAGCTGAAGTTTTGGGCGTTTGCGAGGCACTTTCCTGGCTAAAAGTACAATACACTGAGGTTAAAACAAATGAGATGGATGCCCTCCTAGACCGCACAGCTCTTCAAAATAATGGTGTGGATAACTCTTACTTTGGNAAGCTGGACTTGGCCTGGTAATTCGAGATGATTTGGGGTCTTTCGTTGCCGCCAAAATTATTCCCGTTCAAGGAATTGATGATCCACTCATAGCTGAAGTTTTGGGCGTTCGCGAGGCACTTTCCTGGCTAAAAGTTCAATACGCTGAGGTTAAAACAATTGAGATGGATGCCCTCCTAGTCTGCACAGCTCTTCAAAATAATGGTGTGGATAACTCTTACTTTGGTATTTTAATAGAAGAATGTTGACTACTAGCAAGAGAGTTCCCAAACCTCAATTTCAACTGGGTTAGGAGATCGGCTAATCAAGTAGCTCACACACTAGCCAAGGCTGCTAGTGCATTACATGATAGTGTTTGTTGGTCCTGTTTCCCGCCTTTATTCATTTCAAATGTACTACTTTCTGACTTGATGAATGAATAAATNCATTACATGATAGTGTTTGTTGGTCATATTTCCCGCCTTTATTCATTTCAAATGTACTACTTTCTGACTTGATGAATGAATAAATTTGTTTCCTTAAAAAAAAAAAATTAATAATAATTTAATTATTTTGATAATACCATACTTTTCATTTTTCAATATGTATTTAATTTATTTAGTTACCGTCAATGTACATTTACATTTGACATATTCATTTCACCCGTGTGCTTTCATTAATGTATGAATTCCTTATCATTAATTCTCAATTAATTAATATTCACATTCATTTAATTAATATTCATACTTATTTGTGCATTTCAGTGTTATTAATTTTAATTATAAGTTAATTAGAATTTTACATTCAAAAATACATTTCATTATTCATGTTTATGTATGCTAATTAACATCCAATTTTACTTAATTACAAATTAAAATTAATTATTTAATATTTATTGTCACGTATATATTCCTTGGTATTGATTCTAAATTAATTAACATTCATACATATTTAAAGCAATTTATAATAACGTGCAACGTACGTTCAACATTGAGTGGTTTTTATAAAAATATATTTTTGTACAGGACTGAGAGTATGATAAAAACTTCTCACTGTTGATGTGGTAGAAAAACTTTACTTATGGTTCTCTCCATTACACTGGGAACAGGAGATCAATTTCATATATTTATATAGCTAAAATTTTACGTATGGTTATCTCCGTTGCATTGGGGAAGGGAGATCAATTTCATGTCTTTATATAACAACAATTTTATATCGAGACTCGACAGATGACAGTCC